GCAGGGAAAGCAGGAGAAGCCGGGTGGGCACAGACCGCGGAGCCTTCCACGATGCTATTTGCTTTCTTCACCAGGAAGTGTTAGCAGCTCTGAGTCTCACTCTGAAAAATCACATCTTGCTTCCGATGCCAGGCTAAATAAAGTAGTGGGCCAGTCTCAAGTTCGATGATCTATAGGAAACCGCTCTTGGGTCAGGGGGTGGGACTGTATGAGGGTCCTCACATGGAAGGGGGATTCTCTGAATGAAGCCCTAACATGCTTTCAGATTGGGTTTAAAGAGGGAGTGGGGGGTGAGGCATTTATAAATGGGATTATTGTATTCCCAAACTCTGCCCAGCAAAGGGATTAGTAGCCATGAACCCACGGGCACAGCCCTGGTCCTTCTAGTGACCTGCCTGGAGGTGGCCAGGGTAGGAAGAAGCTGGAGCAGGAATCCCGGAGCACAGCTCTCCTGGAGCCTCCTGGACACTTTCACTTTCCTTTTCTCTGGTTCTCCGACTGTCTCCTCTCTGCAGCCAGCTCTCCTCTCCCTCCCAGCCCCCTGTTGCTGCCCGCCATCCCTGAGCTCCAGTATAAAGTTTGGCTTTTGCAGCAGGAAGCAGCTGGGCCAAGCAACCAGCGAATGATAATGACCTCAGAAATCTGCTGTTCGCTCGGCAACAATAGGGTGTTCAGTCTACTGGAAAATTGTGTTCATCAGCTAACTCTGCTCAGTTACTAATTGACATTGCCAAATATTTTAAGAACAATTGGAATGCACAAGCAAAAAAGAAAAAGAAGAAGAAGATCTTAATCCTCAGACTTAAATTTTTTTTTCTCTCTTACTTTTTGTCCCCCCTCCCCCACCCCCCACCCCACCCGAGCCCCGAGCCCCACCCCTTTCTTTTGGAAACCTGGATTTGTTTGTGTAGAGCAGGCAGCAGTAAGCACAAGTGGGGGTAGGCAGGGAGCCACAGGAGAAAAAGAGATGGGAAAGAAAGAGAATCTATCATATCACTGTCCACCTCGTGGCAATGCAGGCAGGCCAGGAGGCCTGGGAAAAGCTGCCGTGGTCAGTGGCCCCACCCAGGACGGAGACCCAGCATTCCGGAATGCAGCTCAGGCAACAAAAGCAGACCCTGCGAGGCTTCCGGGCCAGCTGATCAAATAACCCTGGCCCATCTCAAAACAGTACACCAGCAGGAGCAGGGGTTAACAATATTTTCGTCTTTGCCTCTCTCCCTGGCTTTCCATTGATCATGTAACTTAGCTGACTTTATTTAATGAACAGAGGGTCAACACATTCAATTACCCCTTCCCCATCATCAAGACTTCAATTATCCCCACTCCCAAATTATGGGGAACGCAGAAGGTAACTGCCCTGTTGGATATAATGAACACTATCGTTTCTTAGTACATTAAGTTTTAATTATTCTGAGCATGGTTTTCCAAAGCAAAATCGGAAGAAACAGAACTTCGGTGGTTGTCAGGACTCAAGAGCAAAGGCAGGACCCAGGCGCAGACTGAGAGGGTTTCTTTTTTCCGGAATCGGTGCAGGAGAAGAATTCTTCCACGGGGATTTCTGCATGCAAGCCAGACCCAGGGACGCCTTGGGGCCCCCACTCCACCTCCCTCCAAAATGTCACAAAGAGAGTGAAATTTATCAGCTGCCTCTTCCCAAATAGTTTCCGTTTGAATTGTCCACGGAAGCAGAGATAGCATCTCTGAGGGTGCGAAATTATTAGTAAGTCAAACCGCCACCACCGTCACCAAAAATAAAACAAAGGGGAAATGATCTGTTTGACTAGTTCTGTCCGTGTTCTGCGAGAAAATATGACCTCTCAATTTGTCAAAGGTCCTGGGTTTCGCAGTTGATCTTAAGCTTGGTTCTCAGCAGTTTGGAGAGCCAAAGAACAAACACATTTTCTGGTTCACTGGAATCATTTTCACATGTTCACTGATTCAAACATTCTTTTGCTCACATAACAAACAGCTGCAGCCCACATTAGCCTAGCCTGTGACAGTCGCCCATCTCGGCAATAACTGTTTGATTGCAAACTTGACCCCTTCTTCGTCTCGGTCTGAGCAAGACATTTCTAAACAGCCACTCCGTTCCCAATCCTCCTTTGCAAAGACTTACATCAGATAACAAAGGACGTGGCTGCCACTCATTGTAAGCCTTCTTCTGGAGATCTGTTCTAAGAGGCTCTCTGTAAAGAAGGTTTTTATGATGAATTCAGAACTACTATCATGTTAAGAGCAGCAATTTATAAAGAAGAATCCATTGGTTACGATCTGAAAAAATCGTTTCTCAGGCCCTACTGACCCAGTTTTCAACAACAAAAAAGAATCAAGCGATGCAAATTAAGTTTTGTGACATTGTTATGCGGTCTAAGAAATTTGTAAAATGGTGGTTTGCAGTGATTTCTTAATAGAAGCCTTAATAAGTACTTCTTTCTCTACTGAAGGGCTTAAAGCTTTTTTTTTCTGCGGCGTCTTCTCCCTTTCCTTGCAGGTTTTCTAACAGGTAATAATAAAATGCCCATTGTGCCAAGATTTTCATTTAAATGCTTATTTCCGTGCCACTTTGTACAAGTCATACTCGTTAGGAATGGGACGGAAGACTGAGATTGGCGCAGGGTCCTGGTTCCAGGAGAGCGGCTCGTCCCAGGCGGCCGCCATCGGGCTGCACCCTGCCCTTGCGTCCATTTCCCTACTTAGTCCGAACATGATGAAAAGAGCCTCATTTGAATAGGAGGAAAACAAAGGAGACCATCAGAAAAGGAAAGAACTGGTTATTCACCACTGTAAGATACTTCAGTGGGGAAAAGAGAGACGTGTGATGATCAACTGCTCGGGTAATTCTCTTCAGAGCCACAAGCACCGTTGGTTCTTTAAAGCAACAGGAAATTGTGCCCCCCCCCCAACCCCTTCACTTTCCCCTTCATGGAGTGTTTGGAGATGGGGGGGGGGGCAACCAAGATAGGAATGGCACGAGGCTATCACTCGGCCAGAAGGTGAGAAAAACACGGTAAACACGTCAATAATGAAGCAGAACATTTGGTGGCAGAATATTCCACGGAGACCTTTTCCTTTCAGCGGCCTGGGCGAGGGATGGAAATCTGTCAACGTTAACTCCGTGTCCCTCTGGAAACTTAGGAGTGCCGGGGTGCTCTCTGCTCCCTGCCCCTTCGGGGTCTCCCGCCTCAAAGCAGTGAGGCGGCTGCTCCCCAGGAACGGAGCGGGGAGCCCGCCTGGCAGTGGGCGCCTGGCACTTGGCTGCCTCGGTGGACAGAGGGATACGTTCTCATGGGTTCCCACCATCAGAAAGTGCACCTCACAGGCCCTTCCCTGGAGTCCTGGTCTGTTCCCTGCAGTAGGCACTCCGTGGAGTGCGGCCTCGCTCCTCCAGGGCACTCGGCCCCTGGGGTCGACTCTTCTGAGAGGGTCTCAGCAGCCATAAATCGCCCCGAAGGCTAGGGCTGCAGCAGGAGACAGTGTGTTTCATGGGTATTTAAGCAGCGGCATTAAGTGCTCTTGGAATCTCGGGAATGTGCGGGGCAGATTTATGTGTCTTAACAATTCTTTACTGGTTTGTAATAAGCCGGCAGCCTCACACTTTATTTTTAGATTAATTTTTTCCTAGGAGAAGGGTATACTGAAGCATGACAATAACAACAAAACTAAGCGGGCATATACTTAATAACTGTAGGAGTGAATTGCCTCCAATGCTAAAATATTCATTGAAACTGTGAAGGGGAAGAAAGAGAGAGAAACTTATAAAAAGAAAAGAAAATGACCCTCCATGGCCTGCCACATCCTTAGCAGTGGGCAGTGCAGCGCCTTGAGGTGCCTCAAACTGTCTCTCATTTTCTCGACTTAATGGCTGATTGCAGAAATCAATGTTGCCATTAGTAACAGGGTTTTTGTTATGGCATGATTTCCTCTGTTGTTAGGCTGCAGAATGATTACAGTATTAGCAAGGTGTTTTCTTTACAAAAGGCTAGAGATATAACTTTCAATTTACTGTCCATTAGGACAAGGCCTTGGAAATATGGGTGAAGAGAGCTGCGTACCTACTGCTGTTGTGGAGCGATTTTAATTTAGCCATCTTAGGCTAGCGTGTTGGGTTTGTGTTTGGATTTTTTTTTTTTTTACCTCATCCTGGGCCAGGAAGCTTCAGCATTTCCCAGACATTTTGAAGACAGATTTTGGGCTCTGCTATTTTAAACCCCAGGACTGTGCTACGCGTGTAAGGCAGCACAAGTTAAAATCTAAGACAGGCAGCCCGTTCATCTGTGTCTCAAACCTCAGTCAGTGCTTGGAAAGTGCCATGGTTCTTCCAGGGAGGGG